CATTTAAGGCTTTATATGTGAGAAGGAGGATTTTAAACTCTGTTTAATATCTGAAATATTCGGGGGTGTTTGTAGTCTTCTGCAGGGTGTACACCCCGGATCACTCATACGTCACCATCCGGAGCCGCCTGTCCTGTCGGGTCGGAGAGATTCTGGCGCTGGTCAAAGAGAAGCTCCAGTACAGTGAAGACCAACCAGTTCTACCGGGGAACCTCATACTGGTGGCCGTCACCTCATCCGGAGGTCTGTAAACCCACGTTTGTTTGGTTTTTTCCACCTTTCTGCTGATGTCTGAAGATGATGTCACCAACTGTGTCTGTAGAAAAAGCCGTTTTCCGTCCGAGCGACGAGGCCGTCTTCACCACGCTGGGAGTCAACACCCACCTGTTCGCCTGTGAACCCTCTGAACTGGACTCCCTGGTGAGCATCCATGTTATTGATTTGGTTTTTAAAGCTTGATTGATTGTAGAGTAACAGCAGCCAATGAAATGAGAGATGTCTGAGAGCCACTCTAGCTGAAGCTGATCCTGCAAAACAAAACAACTAAAGATAAAGAGCGGAAATCCAGTTATCCTCTGTTAGGAACGGCAGATAAAAACAGGGAGAAATTCAGTTTGGAAATATTTCAGTCTGAAAGCAGACCATTTAATTTTAATGTTTTTTTTCCTATAAAGATAATGTGTTGAAACCAAAGTGAAATTTCTTTTGCTCATAATGTCGGACAATAAAGCAGTTTCTGGTTCTAAATAATCACTTCACTTCCAAAAAAAATAATAAATTGAGACTAGCTACCACGGTGGGAAGTGGGGGTGCTGCATCACCCCTAGTGGCGAGAGGGCAACTTTTTTTTAAAAATGTATTAAAAATAATTTTTTTATGAAAACAGCACAATTTATAATTTTATAAATTTCTTATGAATATGTTGTGAAATTATTATTTTTTTTTACTTTACTATTACATGTATTTGATTTTAATCAAATTATTTTTATAGCCTAATCAACTCAAGTTCACCAAAGTTACGTTGTCATGGCAACATCAAGCAAGCTAGTGGTCGCTGAGTGAAGAGGTTTCCCCGCAGCAGACTAGTAAATTTACATAGTCTAATAAAAAAAAAAGCATTTTGGATTTTTTGGGAAAACAACAACCAGTGAAGAAGAACTCTGGTACCTCAACCAGGCCATCAGAGAGCAGCAGGAGTTAGGCGACTATCTGCGCCTCCAGGGTGAACAGATGTCCCAAAAATATCGGGAAAGTCCCGAATTCTAAGCTTTTGTCCCGAATCCCGAATCTGGCTGTGCGTGTCCTGAAATTAAAACCTATACCAAATAATAACTTTTTAACCCCGGGTACACATCTCAAACTATTAGCAACAGCGCCGCCAAGAGGCTGCTTGCACAGACCCAAATCTGTTAAGTGGCGGGCTCTAAAGGGT